GCCTGCTCTATTATTCAATGAGATCACGACTGATCTGATAATTCTCAACTCTACTTTCCTGCCGTATCTCCATCACCCTTGTTCCCTTCCTGATAACAAATCTGTCGATCTCAGTTTGAATATACTTAAAGGCCTAGTCTTTACACCTTCTGCAGTAAAGATCTGAAAGACAAAAATCCTCCTCATCTCTGTTTTATATAGGTGATCCCCTATTCTGAGATTATGTCCTCTGGTCCTAGACTGTCCCACAAGAGGAAGCAACTTCTAAACATCTACCCTGCCAAGTGCCCTAAGGGTGTGTTTCCATGTTGTATGACTCTATAATCTGATATGTTTCAATAAGGTCTCTATTCATTCTTCTAAACACCAGTGACTACAGGCCCAACCTACTTAATCTCTAGTCATAAGAAGATCCCTCCCTACCTGGAATCAACCGAGTGAATCTTCTCTGGACTGCTTCCAGTGCCAGATTTGGGGACCAAAATGATTCATAGTATTCCAGGTTGGGTCGGACCAGTGCCTTGTACAGTACTCAGAAGACCTCCCTATTTTTATACTCCATTCCTTTTGAAATAAAGGTCAACAGTCCATTTTCCTTCCCTATTATCCTGAACATGAAGGCTAGCTTTTCATGATTCATCCATGAGGCCCCCAAGTCCCTGTTTCTTTCTGTTTTTCTACATTGCGATAACATTCAACTCTTCTTTTCTTCCTGCCAAAGTGCACAGCCTCAAATTTCCCTACATTATGTTCAATCTACCAAATATGCATTCACTCACCTAACTTGTCTGTACCCTTTTGTAGACTCTTATGTCATTCTAACTACTTACTGTCATCTCTAAACTGTACTTATCCAGATCATTGTTATATATTATAAATAACTGTGGTCCCAGCACTGATCCCTGTAGTACTCCACTAATTAGAGAATACAATCCTGAAAACGCATCTTTTACCCAAACTCTTTGCCTTCTATTAGTTAGCAATCCGCTGTCCATGCTAATATACTACCAACACTATGGGCTCTTTGTCTTATGGAGTTGTCATACTTGCCATGCCTCATCATATGTCTTTTGGAAATCTAACTATAAATTGTCCTCCTTTATCTACTCAGCTCGTTACCTCCTCAAAAAAATTGTAATAATTTTTTCAGACATGGCTTCCCTTCATGAGGTCATGTTGACTTTGCTTGATTAAATAATGTACTTCAACTGCTCTAAGTAAATCCTTTGTAACAGATTTGAACATCTTCCTAATTACAGATGTCAAGCTAACTGACGCACAGGCTAGCTCACAATATTCCATGGCATATATAATGACATCTATTTCGTGAATTGTTAATGACCAACATCAGCCTCATCAGACAGGCAAGGGAAATTTTATTTGATCCTGCACTTCATGAATTTTCTGGTAACTCTTAAATCATTTGAAACTGCACAGCAACATGTGGATGCCATAGAGCTGCTCCATAAAGACTGGAATAATTTAGCTGTCGACTGAAATAATTCTTGAAGAAAATAAATTTGTGTAGCTCTGTTTACGTTATCATGTAATGAATCTATTTTGTTACTATTTAGAATAGCTACTATTTGTATAACTTTTACTTCCAACTTCGTTCCTTATTATCATTTCCATCCAGCTGCTTTTGCACAAAATTGTCAGGGTGTCAATTCCTTCATGGATTGTAATGTCATTTCTAGATTTTAAGTTAGAAGAAGTCTTGAAGAATCAACAAACTATAAACTGAGTGTTCTGTATTTCCCCATTATTATCTTACAATCACAATTATTGAGCCAGAAAAGTGTATTTTAACAGGAAACAGGTGGTAAGAATCAGCCAACCATTTATCAATTCTGCAACTTAAACAGAGATGAAATTGGGGTGAAGGGTAAAATGTTCGCTGATCTGTTACTGCTTGGTGGTAAAAGGAAAAGTTACCACTAAAAGTTCTCCAATCAATGAAACAGGGAATATCTAATGAGAATGGCTGGGTAGCGGCAATGTTCTTGAACTAGTAATCCTAGACATCATGCAGGCTTGGGCTAATAAGTGACAACTAAATTCAGACCACACAACTGCTAGGTAATGACCACCTCTGACAAAAGAGAACCTTGTCATCATTCCTTGCATTCAATGGTACGATCATTCGCTGAATTCTCCACTATGAACACTTAGGTGTTACCGCTGACCAGAAATTGAACTGGATCAGCCACACAAATTCTGTTGCCACAAGAGCAGGTCAAAAGCTGGGAATTCTATGCAAGTAACTCAACTCTTGACTCCCCAGTTACTGTACACCATTTATAAGATACAGGTCAGAGGCGTGATGGAATATTTTTTACATATCTGGATAAGCACAGCTCCCATAATAGTCAAGAAGCTTGACATAAATCCACAGCAAAGTTGCCTATCTGACTGTATACCACCATCTTGTTCAACATTTACTCCCTCTACCACCAACATAAAATAGCACTAGTGCGTCCCATTGACATGTTGCATTAGTGTCTCAACAAGGCATTTTCAACGACACCTTTCAAACCCTCAACTTTGACCACATAGAAGGGTAAGGGTGCAGATATATGGGAACACCACCACCTGCAAGTTCCCTTTCAAGTCACACACCAGCCACTCCTTCACAGCTGCTGGGTCAATATCCTGGAAATCCCTTCCTAATAGTAGTGTAGGCATGTCTGCACCCAAAGACTGAAGCGGTGAAAAAGCTCCTTTTGGAATGGGCAACAAATGCTGGCTTGCCCAGCATTGCCATCATCCCTCTTTGTGGAAGATGGTGGTGTAGTAGCAATTTCATCTGGACTAGGAATCCAGAGGCACGTGCCACGCTCTGGGGACACAGGTTCGAATTCATGACAGTTGGTGGAAATCAATCATAACTAGATATGGAATTGAAAGCCAGCCATCAGTAATGATGATGATGATGATAAAACTATCAACCACCATCATAAAACAAATAACCCTGGTTCACTTACTTCTTTTAAGGAAGGAAATCTGTCATCTTTACTCGATTTGGCCTGCAGACCCACAATAATATGGGTGACTCCTAACTGCCTTATTAAGGCAATCAGTTCAAGGGCAATTAGGAATAGGTAACAAATTACGGCCTTGTAAGTGATGCGCATATCTCATGAAAGAAAAATAATTGACTCTACCATTATCAAGCCAGAAGATCAACCGGTTTAATGAACTCTATAGGACTGTATGTCAGAAGCAGCACCAGTCATCTATTACACTGGGGGTCAACCTGGCAAACACAGGACTACATACATGTTCAACAGTAGAAGCTGCATGCAATGGACAGAGCGAAGTGATCATACAATCAATGGATTAGATAAAAGCTCTGCACTCTTGTCACATCAAGTCGTGAATGGTGTCAAACAACCATCCAGAAGGGGAAATTCCACAAATATCCACATCTCCATGGTGGGAGAGCCCAGAACATCAGTGCAAAAGCTAAGGCTGAGGCATTTGCAGCAAACTTCAGCCGGAAGCATGAGCTTGCCAGTCTTCAACTAATTCAATTCACTGAGCAATCAGACAGCAAAGACTACAGACCCTGACAACTTCCTAAAACAGTATTGAAGACATATGTTCCAGGATTAGTCGTGACGATGGTAAAGTTGTTGCAGTACAGCTCCAAATCTCAACACTGGCACCTACCTGAAAAACTGGAAAATTCTCTAAGTATGTTCTGTCCTCAAAAATGAATATGAGTATAAATCCAACTTGTCAATTACCCCCTTAAATCCCAATCTCTCCATCATCAAGTATCAGCAAGATACACAAAGTTCATTGACCAACGCTATCTTCACCTGCGCAACTACTGGCTGATTTACAGTTTGGATTTTGCCATTTTGGTTAGAATCTTACCTTGTACATGCAAAGATGATCGTTGTGGAGGCCTATCATCTCAGACTGAGGATATCACCGCAGGAATTCTTCCAGACTGTATCTCGGCTCAAACAAGATGGTGGAAGAGTAGCGCACCTAACTTGGAGCTCGTCAGCTCTGTCCATTTCTTTTCTTCTTTATCCTCTTTTCATGGTTTTTTTCTTTCTTCTCTCTTTATTTATCTCCATTCCTCACATAGACTCGATGGCCTCCTGGCCTGGAGGAATTCCAGTGGGGACTCCTGGCCTCCTCAAGGAGTCCCAGTGCGGACTCCCAGCCTTGAGTTTAAGTCCATGTGGACTCCCTGGTTTAGAAAGACCGTCATGCTATACTTTTACCTTTATTTCTTTATTTTGCTAATTTACACCTAAGATTTTGTGCCTAGCTTTGTAACGACTGTAATGCTGAGCTTTTAACGTTATTTCTTCATTTTCTAATTTATACCTAAGATTTTGTATCTAAGTATTTTTGTACTTAAGATGGTGCCGGAACTGGAGACTTAGTACACTTTTCGTTGTACTCATGTATCCCTGTATTTGAGTACATGTGACAATATATCTAATTCTAAATCTAAAACCCATTTTCAACTGATTCATTCATGACTATTCCTCCATACGAAGTCAGAAATGGGGCATTTGCTGATTAATGAGGTATTTAGGACTATTTGTAATGCGTCAGATGCTGAAGCATACCATACCCATAAGTTGCAAGGCCTGGACTGCATGTTGTTTTAGGGTGATAAGTCACAAATAACATATGCACCATACAAGTGGTAATCTAAGGCCATCTCTAGCAACATAGAATCACACCATTTGTCTGTGACTTTAACAGCATTACTATCACTGAAACATCCACCATCAACATTCTGGGGATGAAGGGATGACTACTATTCATTAGCAATCTCTATTATGGGTTATATTAAGTGTTAAAATATATGATTTTAGTTTCAAATTTACGTAAATTAAAGGTTGCTCACCAACAATGCGTGAGCTTTTGATCCAGATGAAAGACTTCTTGAAGCAAGAAAGCCTAAGATTGCAATGGAGATAATTGCTGAGAGTTGAACTATGCTCAGAACAGAACATGGTGGGTTAACAAGGTGTAGAGCTGGATGAACACAGCAGGCCAAGCAGCATGAGAGGAGCAGGAAAGCTGACGTTTCAGGCCTAGACCCTTCTTCAGAAATGGGGGAGAGGAATGGGATTCTGAAATAAATAGGGACGGGGGGCAACCGCAGGAAGTGCTACACCTGCCCTTACACCTCCCCGCTCACCCCCATCCCAGGCCCCAAGAAGACTTTCCACATCAAGCAGATGTTCACCTGCATATCTGCTAATGTGGTATATTGTATCCGCTGTTCCAGATGTTGCCTCCTCTACATCAGGGAAACCAAGCGGAGGCTTGGGGACCGCTTTGTGGAACACCTACACTCGGTTCGCACTAAACAACTGCACTTCCCTCCCAGTCGCGAACCATTTCAACTCACCCTCCCATTCCTTAGACGACATGTCTGTCCTGGGCCTCCTGCAGTGCCACAACAATGCCACCCGAAGGTTGCAGGAACAGCAGTTCATATTTCGCTTGGGAACCCTGCAGCCCAATGGTATCAATGCGGACTTCACAAGCTTCAAAATCTCCCCTCCCTCTACCGCATCCCAAAACCAGCCCAGCTCGTCCCCGCCTCCCTAACCTGTCCTTCCTCCCGCCTATCTCCTCCTCCCACCTCAAGCCCCACCCCCATCTCCTACCTACAAGCCTCATCCCGCCCCCTTGACCTGTCCGTCCTCCCTGGACTGACCTATCCCCTCCCTAACTCCCCATCCACACTCACCTTTACTGGCTCCACCCCCGCCTCTTTGACCTGTCCGTCTCCTCTCCACCTATCTTCTCCTTTATCCATCTTCTATCCGCACACCCCCTCCCTATTTATTTCAGAATCCCCTTCCCCTCCCCCATTTCAGAAGAAGGGTCTAGGCCCGAAACGTCAGCCTTCCTGCTCCTCTGATGCTGTGGCTGGCCTGGCCTGCTGTGTTCATCCAGCTCTACACCTTGTTATCTCAGATTCTCCAGCAACTGCAGTTCCTACTATCTTCAGAACATGGTGGGTTTTGGTTTTAGAAGCAAAACATAAGCAAGCAGAGAGAGGCTGAACCTGGAGGCTACCTAAAACTGCTATATTTAGTCAAAACTTCTTTTCTGCATGTTTACAGAGTAAAAGAGTAAATGGGGCCAAGTAGCTCTTTAAAGAGAGAAATCCAACTATAGAATGGATGGCAATGTAATGTCAACCTGTGACTGGTGGGCTGTGGCATGTGATGCATACACTTGGACCAGGAGGTTGTATTGGTAGGAATATGCCATATACCTGTGAGGCCAGACCTAGATTAAAAATAACTGCCTTCCAGGGTATGAATATATTCAAAACTTTTGGAAGTAAAAATGGAAAACTTCACATTTATTGACATTATACTTCATCTGTCACACATCTGTCCACTCCGTTAACCTGTTCAAATTCCAAGTCAAATTCTGATATCAAGCCACATCCCAAAACTTATCCAATTTATCCCATATTCCCATAACCGAGATCAGAACGTCATTGAACAAAACTTTAACTGTAACAACCATATAAGTACTTTGGCTATGAGAGCAGATCAGAGTCTAGGAGTCCTATAGTGAGTAACTCACCTCCTGACTCCCCACATTCTATCTACCATCTGGAAGATACGTGAGGAGCATGATGGAATAGTTTCAACTTGCCTGGATAAATGAATCTTTAACAACACTCAAGGAGCTTGTCGTCATTCAGGAGAGCTTGCTTTATCATCTCCCCATTCACCACCTTAAACATTAATTTCCACCACCATCAAGGCACACTGACAGCAAAATACTCTGCAGCAATTTACCAACACTCCTTCAAAGGCACTTTACAAACCCATGACTACCTCTACCTAGAAGACAAAGGCAGCAGATATTCTGGAACACCATCACCTGCAAGCTCCACTCTAATTCATGCAACATCCTGACTTGGAACTATATTGCCATTCCTTCACTACCACTGGATCAAAATCTTTGAGCTGTCTTCCTAGTAGGACTGTGGATGTACTTACATCAGACTGACTCACCAATGGCTCACCACCTCTTCTTCAAGGACAACTATGGAACAACTAGGGGACTAGCCTCGCAACTCAAATCAAAACCCAGTGGAAGAATAAGAAAATATGTCATATGTTTTCTTACACAGAAATAGAGAAAATAAAAATAATGAAGTAATGTTAAGCTGTATAAGATCTTTGTTGGACTTTTTGCACAAAAGTATACCTTTATGTAGAAAAAAAAATGCTAAAGGTGCAGTGTAGGTATACTAAGATGGTACCAAGATGAACGTGACTATGTAACAGTTACGAAGAATTAAATCAAACCAAAGAAAGTTAAACGATAACTTGATAGAGGCCTTCAAGTTAATGAAGCGTTACGGTGAGTCTTTTATCATGTGGTTTTATACTAAATTTCAGTTTGGATTCAAGACAGACTGGTAAAAGAGAAGGCAAAGTCAAGAGTCAAGAGTGATCTTCAGATTCAGACTTCAAAATAAGACTATTTATGTACATTCATCCTAAATATTCCTATTCATGATATACTATACTAAACACTCATCTTATCGTTGTATTAGGTAAAAACTAAGCCATCTTTTATGTTCTTCATATCCATGTGATCTTAAGTTTAATCTAGTGTAGTAGCATGGTTTATTCTTCTAGACAATTCTAACTCTGCTCACACTCTGCTATTTAACCTTAGGGAAGTGAAGCTTGATGGCATCATTGCCAGTTTGCTCCAGAGTCCTGAAGCCCTTATGTAATGCACTTTGTTTCTGTTGGTTAGTGAGATGATATGAAAAAGTACAAACACAAGGATTAGTGTAGGAAGTTGTAAGAAGTATCTTTACAGAACATGCTTAGAATCAAGCATTCTCTGCCGTGCACTGTTGTCAAACCAGAGACTATACATGTGTCCTCAAAACAGAATTAGAGAGCTTCTTGTGAAAAGATTAAAATGAAAGGATATGAGAAATGATGAGAAGTGTGGGTTTGACTAGATAGCACATGGAGAAAAACACTAACGGAACAGTAATGAGCCAAACTGCCTACTTCTATTCTGGAACTTACTGCAAGCTGAGAACCTGCACACTAAGTTTATTATTTATTTCAGACAATCAAATGTGATTAAATCCCAGGACAGCTTGTTATTTCAAATAGATTTTTGATTAAAAAAAGTTCAATCCAGTAATTTTACATTTGAATTCGATTATTGTAAAAGCTCATACCTTATTGATTTCGGTCCACTGCCTCCAAAGTTAGTAGGAGCTGATGCCATTTTGGTAAATGCTCTGTCAGTAAACATAAATTAAATTATTGAAGTGAATCTGGGAATTAGAAAACCTTCATACCTGTAAATCTCTGGACGGGGCATGTTAAACTGATTAACACCTTTAAAAAGTTGAACAAATGTTGTAATGCTGGGTCAGGGAAGGTGCCCCATGATATGAAAAATGTAAAATTTATTCTCACCTGCTACTTGTGCTCTGATACAAGATTGATAACACATCTCTACAAAACTTTAAAGCAGAAGGACATTGCTGAGCGTTTCCACCCAAAATGAAACCACAGAATTGTAGATTACTGGAGTAGATATGGTAATACTTTATTCTCCATCTAAAAAATCATTAATTTATCACAAGACTATTAATCCAGAAAGTCAGCTAATGATCTAGGACCTGGGTTCAAATCTGGCCATGGCAAATGGTGGAATTTAAATTCATTAAAAATCTGGAATTAAGGATCTAATGATGACCATGAATCTATTGTCGACTGTTGGAAAAAGCAACTGGTTCACTTACGTCCTTTTGGGAAAGAAACTGCCATCCTTACCTGGTCTGGCCTACATGTGACTCCAGACCCACAGCAATGTGGTTGACTGTTAATTGCCCTCTGGGTAATTAGGGATGGGCAATAAATGCTGATCTAGCCAGCAATGCCCACATCCCATGAATGAATAGATAAAAATGACCTCCACATGTAAACTGAAATCCCTTTGGCTCATGGCTTGGCAGCAGATGGATGGCAGAGGTGATTTTGGGAAGTGGTCCTTTTAAATTTTCAATAAACTTCCAATTTGAAACTTTTAAATACAAGGGGCATTTGATCAGAAAGGGTGTTTTTTCCCTTGGAGTTTAAACTCAAGATTCAGTCATTTGGCCATTTTCATACCTGGCATCACAATCTGTCTTAATTTTATTATCTTCAATTGGCTACCTTTTCAAATAAAAAAAAAACTGATCCAGTGTTCAAAACTGTTAATTTTGGCAGATGGTTCATGCTTGAATTTATTTTGTGGTTTATACCAATGTGTTACTTGTAATTTGCTGTTCCTTTGGTATTAAAACTATTCTCTATTGTTCTTACTTACTTCCATCGTTTGATGTAATTCAAAGGAGCCAGATTGCACCCGATATCAGACAGTGCTTTTTTGTATTGCTCTAGGTCAACCTGTTGGTACAAATAATTTTATTAGAGAAAAAAGATAATACGATGAATTCTGAAGTTCCAAAGGACTTGATAATTTGCTTTATAAAATAAGCAAAAGATAATAGAATATTGCAGGAAATAAACTCTAAACTTTTCACTCATGTTATTGCCTTGGCTGACTAAATGATGCTTTAGAACCAATTTTGCAATGGAGAATGTGAAGGAGGTAAAACAAAATTCAGAATAATTTCTCCCAGAATCTAATTGCTTTAGCTTTTCCATAGCTACAAAAGTGCACATGCTTCCTCACACTAACCCCACCACCAGTGATGGTGAATAGATAGCCAACACTTACTGCCTAGCTTTAAGCATTATTAATATTTATTAGTTAAATCCTGGAGGACTTTTAATGCCTATTCAAATATTCCTTTTAGTCTCTTCAAAATTAATTCACAAATATCGCCAAGCAAGGAAATATGGTTTGATTTACTTTAACAGCTAAGTCAACACAGTATCATAGTGCCATATAGAGACATGTCCATCCCTTTGACTGTTCAGTACTCCCAATCATGACAAAGCTTCATGCCTTCATCTCTGAACTACAATGTATTATAAGCCACAGAGGTTGGCACCATGAAATTGGGTGGTCTGCAATTGAGCACTGAATAGCATGTGCACAAAACGTAATGTAAGCCACAGAAGCTGGCAACCTCCAAGTAATCTCAAAGTGATTAAGAGCTAAGACATGCAGCTATGAGCCGTAGATTCACTGTGAACAGATACACAAAATGTGTATGCATTCCTGGACATAACGTGACCTGGCAGAAGCTTGCATTCCTAAGTGTTGAGGAGCTGAAGTGGTGTGAATGTTGGATTGAAAGCAGCCATGATGATGTGCTGATGCTGATGGTTTGCTGATACTGCATCTTGAAGCTCAAGGAGAAAACCGGGGAATAATTACTCAATGCAAGATTCTGAACTTTTCATATTCATCACCTTTGACCAACATACTTGCCATTGTCCACTCATTCAGGGAGGGAAACTTCTGCCTGTGCATTTAAAACTACAGTTCTCCATATTATGAAATAAACTCCACAGCCAGTGCACTTACTGGAACCTCTACACAGAATGTTTTTCAGAGTTTTTCATGCCTCCATTTTATTTGAACAAAGTTCTCTCCACAATACAATTGTACAGCTGGTTCAGACCCCACACATCATTAAGCCATAAGTCAACCTTTGGTACAATGAGGACTCTGGGACAGCATCCCAGGAGCAGCTCCATGCTAGGCTAAAAAATGTGGTACAAAACCAGTGAAGCTCAATATGAGATGTCAAGTATGCTAAACAAAAAAGTATAAGAGCGAATAGATCCCAGAACCAACACATCAGATCAAAGATCTGTAGTCTGCCTCATCCAGTTACAAATAGCAGAGCACAATTAGCCAAATGAGGATGACTCACAAACATTCAATTCTAGGGGATACTAGCACATCAGTGCAAAAGACAAGGGTGAAGTATTTGCAAGCATCCTCAGCAAGAAATGCTGTGTCTATGATCTAGTTCCTCTGGTGCCTGTCTTCAGAGAATTCAATTCACTCCATGTGATATCAATAAATGGCTGTGTGCACAGAATACAGAGAAGGGCTCTTGTGGCTCAGTGGCAGCATCCTTACCTCTGAGCCAGATGACCTGGGTTCAAGTCTCACCTACTCCAAAGGTGTGTCATAACGTTGTTGAACAGGTTGAATAGAAATATCTTGAATACAGAAAAGTACATGAGCTCTAACAAAATTCCAGCTGCAGCACTGAAGTCTTCTACACCAGAACTAGCCACGTCTTTAGTCAAAGTCTTCCACTATAGTTACAGCACTAGTGTTAACAAGATGGAAAATTGCAGTCAGTATGAACTGTCCATAAAAAACAAATCTGATCCAGCTAATTACTGCTACATCAGCCTACTCTCAATCATTAGCAAAGTGACAGTAGTTCTGTTGACACTGCTATCAGTGTCACTCAGTAAAAAGCTGCTCACAGACCCTCAGCTTGGATTCTGTCATTTCACTCGGTTCCTGTTCTTATGACAGCCTTGGTTCAATTCTGGATAAATGAGCTAAATCCTAGAGACAAGGTGACAGCGACTGTTTAACCTCTGAAAGATCAGAGGTAGCAGTGTCTGCTGGTAATTAGACAGCATTCTGTACTATTTGTAACTCTTTAGATACTGAAGAAGTCTGAGCCTGCATGCAGAAAGATCTGGACAACATCCTAGCTTGAATTTAAAAAAGGTTCATAAACAAAGACTAGGACGTCCACTTTAAAAGAGGCAGATAGTCTTAATTATGACAAGATGTCCAGAGTAATAACTCATTCTCCTTCATCCAATTTGGAATGAGAATTCTATAAGGAAACAACAACGATTCTTCTATAATGAGCTTCAGTCAGAAAACAGTCTTTGACTTTGCTACAGCCACGAAGAATGATGTTACACTTTGATAATGCTCCATTGAAGGCCTGGCAAAGAGGAAATATTATTCACAGATTCAGAGAAAGTTTATAGCACAGAAACAGGCCACCTGGCTTATCTTGTTTGCACCAGCTGAAAAATGAGCTGCACAGCCTAATTTCACTTTGTTGCATTTGGTCCATAGCCGTGCAAGTTCAGGCACTTGAAGTGCAAATCCAGACATCTTTCAAATGAGTTGAAAGCTTCTGTCTCTAATACCCTTTCACAGTGAGTTCCAGATTCCAAACACCTTCTGGGTGAAAATTTTTCTTCATCTCTAATTTTTCACTCTGATTTTTTCCCCCAATTACTTTAAATCTATACACCCTTGCCACTGATTCTCTACTAAGATAAGCAGGGTCTTTTCATCGATTGAAGCACCTCACTATTGTATACATCTTGATCGACTCTTCCCATCAATCTCTGCTGTTCCAAGGAGAATGCCAGCGTATCTGATCTTTTTATCCCAGGTTCTGGCAACATCCTCACAAATGTTCTGTCTACTTTGATTACACTCTTTTAATGAGGTGACCAGAACTGCACACAGTCAACAAGTTGTGGCCTAAGTAATAATTTTTATTGTTCCGATATTACCACCTTGTCTCTATATCCAATACCTCAGCTAATAAAGGATTCCAAATGCCTTCTCAACCACCTTACCAATCTATCCTGATACTTTCAGGGATTTGTGAATATTCATGCCAAGTCTCTTAACTCCTCTACACGTCTCAGTATTCTCTCATTCATTGTGTATCTTTTTGCTTTGACTCCAATTGGAATTAGAGTTTAAACCAACTGTACTATGCTCATCAATCCTCATTATTCCCTCAAAAAATTCAAACAAATTGGATATGATCTTTCCTTATAAAATACACACTGACCATCATTGATTAATCTATTTCTAAGGGCCCTGCTTTCTGAATAACAGTCATATAGGACTAGTGATCTACCTACTTTCAACCCACACCTATTAATTCTTCCTCTCTCCCTATCAAATTCAATGCATCACATTCTTCCTTCTTACAACAATACCGTATCTGTTCTGACCTTCTCTTTTGTGAATACAGATCCAAAGTACTCATTAATGTCCACAACAATAGCTTACACCTCCACACAAAGGTTATGGGCCTTAGATAGCCTCTTGTTGTTAATCTATTGATAAAATAACTTTGGGTTCACCTTCATTTTGCTTGTCAATGTTCTTCCAGGTCCTCTCTTTGCTTTCCTAATTTCAACACTCCATTTTCTATACTCCTCTCAGTTTTATGTAATATTATGCTCTTATTTTGAAGAATTATCTTACCCTGTGATAGTGGGCTCGAGATGTGGCCGTTGCTCCGAACCCCTTTCATCCTTTTCAATAAGTATGTTAAAACTACCAATTATGATCACTACCACCAAGATACTCTCCCATTATTAAACTAGGACTTAAAATAAATTAATGGGAACTTAGTCTCCAACTAAATCAGTGCCACAGCCAGGTTAAGAGAATCCTGGGGAGCAGGGTCTTGTCCATTGGAAACTCAAATTTCATGCATATTTCCCATGGTGCCCAGTGCATTGCGACTTCTGTCAGGTCACCAGGAACATCTGTATCTAATGATCCAGAGTCCAGAAGATATGAGCCATTGTTATCTCTGGACAAAGGGAAGAGCTCACTGAGAGGTTATGTAATAGTTCTCAGCATGCAGCTATATTTGACATGTTCTAAAATATCACAGCAAGCACCGTCCAAAAACAGCATTTTGGAGGTGTAGCCCACAATACAAATATTTTTCTCTCCCTCTCCAAATTCATGCAATTTTTCACCATCAGCTCAGCAAATCTGCACTTCAGCTTTTAGTTTTCCTTTCAATGTTACTTTTCTAAGCACTTATCACTTATGTAATTAAATATTTATCTTGTATATTTCACTTCATTACGCAAATTTCCTCAAAATTAACCAATTTCATCCATTTTCAGTCACAGCCTTTTCTTTTGAACCCATTTGCAACCTTCAACTTAATCTTAAAACTTTATCTTGCATCTTGTTTTCCTTTCTGCTCATTCACCAGTAGGGGAGAGGCTTTAACTTTTTTGGAAACGAATGTAATAAACCATGCTGAATGAGGACAGAAATTTATATATTTTCTTCAGGCAAACTATCTTAGTGCTCATAAATTTTAATTATGCATTAAAATAAATGTGAACATATTACTTAATTTAACTGAAGAGATATACAAAGTAATTATACAAAATAATTCGGTTTCTCTGTAATTTGATTAATTTTGTTCAGTTTATGCTCATATGCCTTTATTTGGCATTGCTATATCAGACTCAGAAATTTACATGATGTGACTTTATTCATCCACAAAATAATGTATACAATTAGATTTAAAACAAGCAAGGTTATTAATGTTAAAGAGACATCTCATTTTCTGTAAGTGGACATTATCCAATCTGTTTTGAAAATTTCACTGCCTGGTGGATGAAATACTGCTTACGTTTGCTGATCCTTTAATGAAATGTAACTTACCGAAGTCAGCTGCAATTACTTATGGGCACATAGAATTTTGCTTTATTTTGTCGTGGTTGACATATACTAGGTCATCCAATAATTTTTTCTCACCAAATTTCTCCATTTCACTTGAAAATAATAACGCATGCTAAGCAATGATGGCCCATTGGTACTTCCTACTGGTATTTGTTCATGCCTAAAAAAGACCTTTAATGCCTATGAACTAACTAATCATTGGTGACATTATAAAGAAACATATATTGACCAATTCCACAATGCTATTTTTGAAAACAGATAGGAAATCATGAGAGAAATCACTTGTTAAAGATGGTGACAATCCACAAGACGGCAATCACAGTGAAACATGGCTCCTCACCAATGTGCAGAACCATGGCTGGTTCTCAGTGTGCCAAATGTCAAAAGGTACTGCATATCCACTGACTGGTTGGACTTAAGGATTTTATTTAAATCTGGCAAAGCATTTTCCGCCTGCCCCTAACAGACATAGCACTCTCACTTCTGATTCAGTAGACTGTGAATTCATGTCCTCCTCCAGTATTTGACCACATTTTATCAGCTAATATTTCAGCGTAGTACTGAGGGAGTGTGGTATTTCCTGAGATCTGTCTTTCTACTGAGAAGTTTAATCGAGTTCTCATCTCCTTGTTTGGATGGATACGAAAACCTCACAGGAATATGCAAAAAAATTACAATGGTGGCCAAAACTCAACTCTCAATCAGCACCATTAAACACAAATTAACTAGTTGCTCAACTAATTTACTGCTTTTGTAAAAGATAGAAAATTTTGGAATTACTTGGCGGACTTTGCACTGTTTAATAGTGCATATGAAACCTTGCTTGCACAAACTGGCTGCCATATATTACCATTAACAACAATACTGGATTTCAGAAATAATTTATTGGTTATGAAGCATCTTAGGGAGTCTGATGTTGAAAATGTGCAAATTAAATGCAAGATCTTCTTTCTTTCTTAAAATTGCTATTTATCTCTGAAAAGTAATGCCTTGTGAATGATTAATCCAAAGTCAATCAGTGGGCACCAAACATAGTTTGAAAATTTCTTACAACCAATGTCAAGTGAACGCAGGGAATGTTATAATTTCTTCTAATTTTGTAAACGTTGTTTTACTTTTTTAACAGTCACTGAAAATATCAACAGACATTGGGTAGCAGAAATTATGGGAGTCCTAATAGAGGCATTCAATGAAGGATTTCTATTGCTTTAACAGCACTTTGTATTTTGTATTGCAATGGGTTGAAGCTTATGCAGTGTTTGAATAATCAAATGCAACTGACCTCCGAAGGTGGCTGCGGTGAACTGATGTAGTAAACGATAAACAGCCTCATTTTATCTTCAGGGGTACCTCCTATAATAATAAGAGCAAAATATTTTTCAGCATAGAAGACTGTCAGAAATTATTTCATATTGCACATGAAAGGATTTGACTTTGCATTAGAAATAATTGCTTAAAAAGTAATTTTATTTTACAGCACTTGACATTTAGTATGTAATTTTAGATCTTCCCAGACTAATCAAATTTGAAGGTTACGAAAGTGAAAAAAAAAGATTTAATGCTCTTCAGAATTCTTCATTAAACTCTCAGAAATATATGCGCAATGGCAATATTTAATGGTACAGCTCGGAAGATACAGAATGACATGCTAATGTCTGATGGGCAATACGACGGTGCTGAGTTCTGTGAAACCAACATTGGCTATTTCTGAATAAACAGTTGTAGCACCTTTTCCCACTTACTGACTTCCCAATATCAATAATGCTGCTATCGGGAGCCAAAGATAAGAGCTTTAATGCGCTTTATAAAATACACCCTATAAAAAGGGTCTTTCTCCATCCTCTGACAACAAATGCAGACCCAGGAAGGACTGGGAAGAAAATATAAGGTAGTAAGTGCTGAGAGTTTACTCACTTAAATTTTCTGAATTCTGTAGTTAAAACATTTTTGAAACATTTACTGTTCGTAATTATGCACATTTACATCCTTTAAATATATCAACTGAAATTTTATGAGAAATGCTGAGAATAACTATTTATGTCTGAGTTAAAGGTCAATTTTAGTAGTTACCGTCAGGATCAGAGATTATATCCAGTAAGGACTTGTCTAATGTGGACTTGCTCATCAATTTTTCTTCATATTCGAAATAAACATCCAACTTCCGAGCCTATCAGGAAAATTATTAACATTGTTATCTTTGGAATTTACAGAAGATATATTTACCTGCAAGATGAAGCTTACATTTTATCAAACAAAGTTTACAAAAAATTAACTGCAAATCGGATGATGATAATGTTAGGAAGGGAAGCTTTATTAAGCAGAACCACTTAAATTTTTCCTCAAAAAGTACAACACAGAATATGCATTGATTAAATGCATTGAATCCAGGAAAAGTAAATATCAGAAAAAAGATTAGATGAGAAAACTGAAAGCTACAGTGTTTATTTTCATTAAGGACTTCAAATCCAAAAGTTAGCACTGATATATGAAATGTTTTATTCTTACTCAAAAAATAAGTTATAGAAAATTAATTAAATTTCTGTCTGAGGTAAAACCTTTCTCACTTTCACTTGGAATCTGTCAGTTATAACTCAAGGACATACAAAATAAACTGCAGCTAGATTCCAACCTGTGAAATTCAATCTGAATTCTTCCATCATTACATTTCATTTCCTAGACCCGCAATGTCTCTGGTCTCTGCTCTCTGCTCTCTGTTCAAATCCATCAGTTGTTGTGCAGTCTTGAACTACCAAGTCTAGCTCAAATTGAACTTATTGTTCCATTTCACGGAATGGACTTACAGCTATGAAAGAAAGCCATCTTTGATTCTATCAGACTAATCTAGATTTTAAAAACATGGGCATTAGGAGTGAAAGGAAACACTTTTCCAAATGAATCACACCAGCAAAGTTCTGTGAATTGAGCATGTAAATATTTTAAGGACTATTTATAGACAAATGACCCATAGCATAAATCTATATAGAGGAATTCAAATTCAAGCTGTAGAACTCAAAAATAAAAAAAGACTTCCACTATTCTGAAATAGAGAGTAGCATCAGAAAACGACAGAAAGAACGGAAAGTAATTTGAGGTACAGGAATGATAGTGTCTTGCCAAAAGGCTAAGAATAGATCAGCTTACATAAGTAAACAGGTACTCACCAGGGAACCTAAGGAAATCATTGTGTTTAGGCTGGACTGTACACAATACTTTAAACTGTATCAGATGGTGTAGCAATTTTTTGGCTTATGATGTAACAGAGTTTCTTACAAACAATATTTTGTTGGACTGACTTGTAACCAAGGTCAGTCTATGATCCAAATGATTAAGAGTTGAAGAAACAGTCAAAAGTAATTCCAATAATGTGTATGTAGACAGTGCCTTTAACAAGCTAAAATGTCCCAAGACATTTGACAGGAGCGTTATATTCTGCATTTATTGTCAGTGCCACTGCTAGGTGGTGTAGCGACCACACATGCCTGTAAACATAGCTTTGCAGTCAAGCTCCTAGGAATCGGTTCAGTGAAATCAACAGTATGGCAGAACTGACTTGTCAGTTGTGGTTTTATTAAGCTTTCAGCACTGTACTGCCAAAGCATCCATTCAAGAAGTGCCCGTGAAATAAATCAGACAACTGGTATGTTTAAAAATACCCCAAAGTGGTGAACTGTGCAGCAAGAGGTGTGACTAGAAGTGAAGGGGAGTTTGGGGGGGGGTGGCACAGCCAATGGTCAATAAGACTCTGCCATGATGGACACAGCCAGAAGGCTCTGTTGCAACAGTGTGCCATCATCTCTATTGTCTCTGTAAGCATGGGCGGCTGGTGGCCATCACTGCTGACCATCCTGGCATTGGCAACACACACTCCAGCATTGTGAATCAAAATCTGAACCAAAGTCAGAAAGTAATATTAGAAAATGAACAAAACCTTAATTAAAAGGGTAGGTTTGAAGGCCATCCTAAAGGAGAAAAAAGAAGTAGATAAGGAGGTGATTTACAAAAGGAATTCCAAAGGTTTCAGCATAAGAAGGCACAGACACCAGTCATACAGCAACTAAGATCACAAGGAGTTGGAATGAGAAGAGTACGTCTTATGTTATTTGGCCGGAGAGGGTGTGTGTTATGGGGCTGGAAGAAATTACACAGATAGAGAGAGGAGAAATCATGGACGGATTTGAAAACAAGGCTATGAATTTCAAAATTAAGGTGTTGCTAAACTGGAAGTCAACATAGATTAGCAAGTATATAAAAAGGTAAAGTTGCCATAGTCTTACCAGACCATAGGGCTGGTCTCTCAATGGAAATAAGACTGGTGGTGGTTTAACCTGGCGAGGGAGAGGCTGTGAAGGACAGTCCTTCATGGTAACCTTAACTATGGCACCCTAGCAAGCACACAGGTGATAGATGAATGTGGCCAACTGCCAGTTAGGACAGGAGCACAGAGTTTTGGACTGCCTTAAGTTTAGGAAGGATAGAATATGAAAAGATGGCCAGAAATGCATTGGAAATGTAAATAACATATGTTTTTATTTTTCTGTACTCCTAATTGTGGACTGAAATTGGAGAGGAACTGTTTCAGAAAACAAGGATTGTTGAAAGATTGATGTACGTTTTGGAAAACAAGTAACCTGACACTCATTGGGAGCACTGTTTACAATTCTCTGGTTTATGTAGCAGCTGAAGCATACTTTGTAGATGAGCTGGATTCAAAGGCTGAGTACAAATTAAATTCAGCTGGCAATAGGTAGCTGATTGGTCTGTGGATTATTGACCAGTGATGACAATGGCCTTTTCCCTGCCAAACTTGCGGCTGTGAACAAGATAGTGAGAAGCCATCAGATCATTATGAACTTAGGAGCTATTTTTGTTCTCTGCAGTAAAAAAAAACTTCAAAGCTTGAAGAAAACCATTTTATTTTTCCTTCAGCAGTTGCTGGAAGTTGTGATTTTAAATGAATAAATCAGAGACCTACATAAGTGTGAAACAGTTACCCTGTGCCTCCTGCAAACAAGTGAAAGCATCCCAAGAAGGAAGATTGGGTAGCAGTGTTCTGATCAGCAGAAGAATCATTTCAGAAACCCTGTGAGCACAAACAACAAAATTTCTTTCTCACTCTTTCCCTCCACCCACATGTATTTTTTATTCTGCCTGTATGTGTGTATGTAGAGGGGGTGTATATAAATGGGTCAGAGTTTCAACTAGCAGAGTTACATGCTGAAGGCTCATAGTTGCTTATCTGCAGCTAGAGTCTATTTATTTGTAATAGATAATAATTTCACATTAAGTACAGAGACCTGGTTCGCGCTTTTTGTCAACCTGGATCCAGAAGATAGGTAACTGAGGAATTTTGCAGTACTTTTTAAAAAATCTTTAACTTTTATGATTACCTGGAAAATAGTTAAATCTAGAGGTAATGTGGATGGGAATCGCACCATCGAGGTTCTGAGGCAGGGTAGAGATGGGCAATGACACAAAGGTGAAAAAAGGCATTCTTAGTCACATACAGATATGTGTTTGGCAAGTTTATCTCATTGCCCTGGCTGAGATCAGTTAAACATGCACAAATTAAGCATGTGATTGTGCACCCAATCTAGACTACATGATTTAATGTCACACCAATGAGCCATGGGGATGTCACCAAAAAAATTTAGAAGTTTGGTTTTTATCCCTACTTTGATTATAGAATCCAGTTATTTGTTACAATTTTCTCCTCCTGCCCAAAGCTCAACTACCGCATATGAATAAAAGTAACATCTTTCGTTATTCTTTCCTTATTTTTACTCCATTAGGAAGGGACTATTGACCAGCCGATATACAAAAAAACCCAGCAAACTGATTGCTTTCCTTGATTATAAAAGGAGAAAACACTTCAACAAACAGAGCAAGAGATCTCTCACTGACCAATTTCTACTTTTCGAAAATCATTAATAGCTGCAAAACAGGGTCTTCAAAGGAAAAAAATAATGGCACTAGCGCTAAGAATGCCTATTTTTGTTTCTGTAACATTACCCAACTATGCCCTGCCTCGGCTCATCTTCTGCTGAAGTTCTCGTTCATGTCATTGTTACTTGTAGACTAGGCTATTCCAATTCACCTCTGGCTAGCACCCATGTTCCACTCTTCACAAATTTGAGGTCATCCAAATTTGTGCTACCTGTGGCTTAATTTTCACTAGGCCTTATTTCACCAATCACCCGTATGCAACTGAACTACACTGGCACACAATTAAGTAACAAATTCATTTTTCAAACTTTCAGTATTGTTTACAATTTCCTTCAAGGCCTTGCTTGGTTCTTATCTCTGCAATTTCCTCCAGCCCTACAAATGATGCAAGTTATCAGTATACCTCCAATTTGGCTTCTTAAACATCTATGATTTTAATCACTCCTATACTGACAGTCATGCTTTTTGCTGACAAGATATTAAACTCTGGAAGTTCATTTAAACCTAAACCTCCTTAAACTTCTGTCTCTCTACATTTTTCCCCTGGCTTAAAATAATCTTCAAAACCAAACTTTTTACCTAACTTTTATCCATCTGCTTCAATATTGCCTTATCGTGTTCAGAACCAAAATTTGTTTGATAACACTCCTGTGAAATGGCTTGGGAAATGTTACTACTTGAGCAGCACTATTTACGTAGTAGTTGCTGTTGTCAATATCCACAGAAAAATGGGGCAGTTTCATTTGCCATACAACTGGAAGACATTTCCAGATTTCCAAAAATGTTTCCAAATCAGTTGTGTCAAATTAACTGTCAAGATCCCAAGAACATGATTTATTTCTAGTTTCCTTTTGATACAACAATCAATAAATGATCCAAGACAATGGCTGGGGACTGTCTATACTCCAAAGACTACAGTTGCATTAATCACTTTACAGGAATTATCCTCTATTTCCATCTGAAAATGACTGTGCTTGGTCAAATCAGTTAGTGAGATTTGTTGATATTTGGCATGGCTTTTATAATGACATATGGAATTGACAAATCTCATTCAGTCACAGGATAGGGAAGAAAATGTAGATTACAGATGATCATGGCAGTGGCCATAAAAACTTCACTAGCTTAGATTGAAGACAATGTAGGTTGCTCAGTAAACAAGAGAGGGTCATAAGGAAACAATATACACTATTATGTTATATTAATCATTCAGGAATTATATATCACCATGAAGTACGATCAAAACTGTCGTCTATTAAAGTAGGACTGCTCTACCAGACTGAACTTAACAGGTCATTAAAGGAGGAAGACTCCTATTTTAAAAATCTGAACAGGATACAAAACCAGGACGTTGGTAAAAGGGCAGTGTTTTAAGTCACTAATTCTCCATAAAAGTGCACACACAGTTCTCTCTAACAAGGAACACAGTCTACTTCTTTTTGAGTTTCAGAATGTTATACACTACAGATCACTGCATATCTATTAAATGGATTTAAACATTCAATTAACTTTTACAGTAAAACAGTTATGGAAAATTTCCTGTTTGTCTCAGTGGGAGAGCCAGAGAAGGTGATCATTCTGATTTTACCAACTGTTGACTGACCTAACAAGCGGGGACAGAAATAAAATGCAGTTATTTCATACAATTAAATTAGATAGCAAAATTAGTATAAAATGAAAAATGCAATGAATACTTTACCTTAATGTGTTCCAAAACAGCTGTTGCCACATTTGTATGAAGATCAATGAGTCTTTTTTTCTGTAGCAGTTCGGGGAGAGAGCTTCAAGAGAGATAGATATTAAATTGACAGAGCACACTGCATTTTCTGAATAAAAGAAAATCTTCTAAAAAAAAATGAAAACAAGCTCCACAGCAATGTATATGTGGGTGCATTTGTAGGTTCATTAACTTGAAGCTCTTCTTGATGGAATTTTAACTTACTTAACTTCTGAAAGGAGGCATGATACAATTTACATCATTTAAACAAGATGCATTAGTTTTTAGTAAAATAATACAAACAAAACAACAAGAGGTTGACTGGATTGCTGTACACAACCAATTTGGTTATGTAGAGATAATGGTTATTGTGCCTCTATAGCTGTCCATGAGAATATTTATTTATTTCATGCAAGTGTATATGGTGTTGATATAGGTTGCTGAAGAAGATGGGGTGAACGACAGAAGGAGAAAGGACTAAGAAAATGCTTTTTAGTTTTATAATGCCTTATTTTGTCTCAGAAATGTCTCCAAGTCCATTGATTTAGCTTTGGCAGTGCAGTGACTCGTAAGTTCCTAATAAATGTTTGGCAAAGATACTGGGAGTGAGGAATGCAGAATGAATCTCTTACAGTAAGTATATAACAATACGGTGTTTATTAGTTTTTTTCTGACTGGCAAGAGGACAACAAATGAAGTGTTGAAAACATAAAAACATAACTGTCATTAGAATCAATGAAGAGGAAATATTTATAACATAAACAGTAGCTATTAAAAATATCTCATTGCTTCAAAGACTGGAGGGATTTATCCAGCAAATTGTATGCGGGAATAGAGGAGTCTAAGAAAGCTCGCAGGAAGTGCTACACCTGCCCCTATACCTCCCCACTCACTCCCATCCCAGGCCCTAAGAAGACCTTCCACATCAAACAGATGTTCACCTGCACATCTGCTAATATGGTATACTGTATCCGCTGTTCCCGTTGTGGCTTCCTCTACATCAGGGAAACCAAGCGGAACCTTGCGAACCGCTTTGTGGAACACCTACGCTCGGTTCGCAACAAACAACTGCACCTCCCAGTCGTGAACCATTTCAACTCCCCCTCCCACTCCCACTCCTTGGTCGACATGTCCATCCTGGGCCTCCTGCAGTGCCAGAACGGTGCTACCCGAAGGTTGCAGAAACAGCATCTCATATTTCGCTTGGGAACCCTGCAGCCTAATGGTATCAATGTGGACTTCACAAGCTTCAAAATCTCCCCTCCCGCTACTGCATCCCAAAACCAGCCCAGCTTGTACCCGCCTCCTTAACCTGTCCTCCCACCTATCCACTCCTCCCACCTCAAGCCCCACCCCCATCTCCTACCTACTAGCCCCATCCCGCCTCCTTGACCTGTCCGTCCTCCCTGGACCGACCTATCCCCTCCCTAACTCCCACCTACACTCACCTTTACTGGCTCCAACCCCACCTCCTAGACCTGTCTGGCTCCTCTCCACCTATCTTCTCTTTTATCCATCTTCTATCCACCTCCCCCTCTCCCCCTATTTATTTCAGAATCCCCTTCCCCTCCACCATTTCTGAAGAAGGGTCTAGCCCCGAATTGCCAGCTTTTCTGCTCCTCTGATGCTGCTTGGCCTGCGGTGTTCATCCACCTCTACACCTTGTTATCTCAGATTCTCCAGCATCGGCAGTTCCTACTATCTAATGAAAAGGGTGAAACTTGTGAGAGTACACATCAGGGATTTGGGAACATGCAGGCAAAAAAAGAAATTAGCATGCTGGTACAGTAAGCAATTAGGCAACAAGATGCCATGTTAGCCTTTATTGTAACAGAATTTGAGTACAGAATAAGAAAGCCATGCTATGATTGTATAAAGCAGAGAGTCGTCACACCTGGAATGCAATGCATATTTAAGAAAGAATACTTATACTGATCCAGTGAAGCTTCATTAAATTGGTACGTGGGATGAGAGGATTGTCCTATAATAGGAGGCTGAATCAACTGGGCCAATATTCTCTGGTATTTAGAAGAATGGAAGGTAATCTGGTTGAATCACATATGGGTCAAGTTTTAGATTTAAGTCCTTCACTAGGAACACGAGATTTAGGCTGTGGTGTGTTAATAATTAAAGTTCCTGTTGACCTTGCCAGTGACATAACTAATCCTGTGGCACTAATTTGAAGAAAAACAATTGCGTTTTCTCCATTGTCTAATATTTAGGTTGATACCTGCCTAATATTTAGGGCCTTTATGTGTGCCTGAATAGTTAAGGCATAGAGATCCACAGTGAAACCACAAAGAAGAGTTGAATTCTACTGACCTGCTTATCCTCATTGCTCAATTAGCACAGACCTGATGGGCCTGGAGGCCTCCTCCTCTGCTATAGTAAGTCAGTGATTATAAAGTGGTTTGATAAGGCAGAATCTGCAATGTTACTTCCCCTAGTTGTCCGCAACCTTAGAATAAGGAGCTGAACATTTAGAACTCCTTCATTCAAAGAACTGTGAATGTTTGGAGTTTTCTACCCTAGAGTATTGTGCACAATGCAACATTTAAGGCTGAAACAGACAATTGTTTTGGTCTGAGGGACTCAAGGGATATGGTGAGCTGCTAGGAAAATAGAATTGGAGCTGATGATCAGTCATATTCGTACTGAAGGGCAGAGAATGCTTGAGGTGCTGTATGGTCTACTTTTGCCATAATTTATGCTTCGATGAGGTGATTTTGTCTTTGTTTATGAGATGGAGGCATCCCTGGTTGGGCCAGCATTATTGTTCGTTCCTAACTGCCCTAGAAAAGCTGGTAGTGAGCTGCCTCTGGAACTGGGTCAGTCTTTATGTTTAGGGAAACCTTGAATGCTGTTAGGAAGGAAGTTCCAGGATTTTGACACAACGATAGTATAGCATAGGTAAAATAGTTCCCAAGTCAGGATGATATGTGGCTTAGTGTAGTGCGGGGAGGTGACTCCACGCATCTACTGCCTTTGTCTATGCAGATGGTAGAGATCACAAGCATTGGAGATACTGTCAAAGGAACTTTCATGAGCTAATGTAGTCAGGTGAAGCATTGATGAGGTTTGTGTGATGTTTCAATATCTGGATCCGTTGCATGTTAACCCTCTGCCACTCTATAGAAATGTTGTCAATTGTTTGGAGCCTCTAATTCGCTGTCAAAATTCTTTTGCACCTGTCACTGTGTATCAGCTGCGAAATAATCAAATTTGAAGGTTGTGAATGAGGTGCCAATCAAGTGGGCTGCTTTGTCTGGGATGGTGTCAAGCTTCTTGAGTGTTGTTGGAGCTGTACCAATCCAGGCAAGTAGATAGTACTGCATTGCACTGCTCACACATGGCATCTAGATTGTTGACAGGCATTGGGGAGACAGAAAGTGAGTTACTCTTGACAGAATTCCCAACTTCTGATCTGTTCTCATAGCCACAATAGTCATATGGCTGGTCCAGTTCAGTTTCTGGTCAACAATGACCCCGCTAAATGTTTTTGGTGGGGGATTCAGCAAGGGTAATGTTATTGAATATTAAGGGGTGATGGTTATATTCTCGCTTTTTGAAGGTGGTCATTGCCTGGCACTTGTGTAGTACAAATGCCACTTAACATCATTAGCCCAAACCTGGCTTTTATCAAGGTCTTGCTGCATATGAAAACAGAATGCTTCAGCATCTGAGGAGCTGTGAGTGGTGATGAACATTCCCATTTCTGACCTGATGATGGAAGGAAGATCATTGATGAATCAGCCGAAGATAGTTATGCCCAGGACTCAATCCTGAGGATGTCAGGCAATGATGCCCTATGGCTCCGACAGCAAAATCATCTTCCTTTGTGCTGGTATGACTCCAACCAGCTGAAAGTTGCATATAGTCAAATACCACCTTAATGTCCAGGTCAGTCACTCTCATCTCACATCAATTTACCTCTTTTGTCCACATTTGGACTGTAATGACGTCAGGAGCTGGGGTGCCCTGATAGAGCCCAACTTTAGCCTCAGTGAGCAGGTGATTGTTTTTCAAGTGCAACTTGATAGCACTAAACCTCAGTCCACTCATTTATGCCAGAATTTAAATGTAATTTCTTGACTTCAGTACTTCACCACTAAA